TTGATGTAGTAAATACTGCTGTGTGCTTTATTTTCAATGTTTTAATCTAGATGTTTGTTACAAGGCATATGATGCTATGATCTGGAAAATTTGTGTATTGAGTACAAAGTGTATATGGTGTAAATATGAATAAAGTGAAGCAGCGAATCAATGAACAATGAATGAGAAGTTAATGAGTTAGCTGAGGAATTATACAAGTAACTTTATAAGTAAGTTAAGCACTTTATATTGAAATGTTTTATTTGAAGTTGTGCCTACATTTAGTTGTGGAATTTATGTTGAAAATGTATTTATAAGATTAAGCCCACAAATGAACATGGCTGTAGTAAACGTTTACTGAATAAATTAATTGATTAGTTACATTACGTGGACAGAGCTTGGCATTAGTTTTACCAAATAATCCAAAAGATCTTGCCACAAAATAAAATATGTTACAACAATATAGTATAGGCATACAATTTCAGTAGAATTGTTTCTTTTTTTTGGTTAAGTAAATTGTTACAAGTAGTTTTTAGTTCTACTAGCAAATTCAAATTTCATTTTTTTTTTAAATGTAGAACATTGTTTCACAACATTTCACATTTCAACAACTTTTATATTTGGTGACAAATGTATTTAAGCAAAGGTCCATCCTACCTGGGAATCAAGGCTAATGTAATTGGAGGCAATACAGGCTAGTCGTTTGGAGTTCGACTTTAAATCCAGTTACAAATTGATTTATATTAAATCCAGGTATACAGTCACAAGTGGAGTACATAAATCACTAATTCGAGGAAGATTAAAGTTAGAATAAAGAATTGACTAGGACATTGAGGTTCAAATTACAATAATACTTTAATACAATATATCAAGATACTCGGCTACATCGAAATTACCGAAGGTATCTTGGAACATGTTACTATCAAAACTATTAAATTCATCAATTTGAATAGGTAACTGTACTTCAATTAAACTTTCTATAACATCCATTAAATTACTTAACACTACCAGTAAATTATCAATTAATACATTGAATGAAATCTGCTCAGACATAACTTTATTAATTTGCCATACATTCAAGTTCTAACTGTATTATTCAAATGTAAGTGAGAAATAGCAATAGTTACTTACGTGGAGCCAGATCAATGAACATAGGCAACTCTCACCATTCTTTAAGAAATGGTCAGCTTTTCAACTGCTTCTTTGCTTCGAGCCAAAAAGACTGATTTTTCCCATAAACATCAGTTTTTAAACAGATTTCTTTAGAGTACTTATGACTTAACAAATAGTGTACACATCTAACCCACAAGTAGATCTAACACTTAATTTTATGATTTTTGTAAACTCATCATAATTCTTGGAACCAAAAATAAAAACACTTCAATAATTGGTCAGGGTCGAAGATGGTAAAATATAAAGAAATCAGTTAAACATCAATTTTTGTGTGTCACAAGGTATGATGAATGCAGCACTGGTTCAAATTAGGTGTTTGTGAAGTCAAAATAATAAGTGTATAGTTTTGTACAAATTAGAAACTCAAATTACCAATATTGACAAGCTAGAATATCAAATAAGAACCTCCTATACTTTTGCTCATGTACTGAATAAAACACAGTGCCCCCCCCCCCCCACTCACCTCTTTCTATATTTGTAAATGGCCCCTTATATAAATAGTTCTATGTATGACATGTGAATAACCAATTGAAAGCTCAGAATGTTTCCATAGTGGCTTTCTCAACCATTTTTCATGTGTTAGGATGCCATCTCGTTCTTTCAAAACAAGATGTCAAGGAGGTAGGTTGTGTCTTTTGTCTGCTCGAAATTTCATATTTTTTTAGACTGAAATACAGCTTAATTACTAAGCTTGATACATTATAGTGGAATTCTATGGTATCAATATAGTAACTTATGATTTTTGGTTATTCAAATGTATATATAAAACCTATAAAACATTATTTCGTTTCACATCCTCCACATGCGAAATTTCTTAAGGTTTAAGCAAGCTATGATAAGCAGCAACCGAGTACAAGGGTCAGAACTAGAAGAGATAATTGTTTGCTTTACTTCTTTATCTAATGTTCTATGTTTTAAGAAAAATATGTT